AAACAAACAAATATTTCCCAGTTCCTGCATACTAATTTGAAGCTATGGCTACTTGACCCAGAAGTCCTGAATGCTGGGCCACTGCTTTGCCTTTTGGAAAAGCAGAATTAGAGAGCGAAGGAAGAAATAATATGTAAGTTACTTTATAAAGCACTGTAGAGGTGGGGACATCACTCAATGGAGTGGTTTGCCTGCACACAATATATATTCTGCGTGGAGAATCCATGTCTTATGAGCTTAGGTAACAAAAAAATTATCTCGCCATCCACCATCCAGCATGTTGTACCTGCAGGTCTGTTCCCACATGCACAGAAAATAATAAGGGGCTCAGTGATGATGCACTGCAGATAGCACGTCTGAGAGGACTGACTATTCATACCAAAGGTGAAAGTACGGCAAGCATTTCTCATTGTACAAGTTGGTTGAGGTCCCAAGAGCATTGTCTAAAGCAGTGTTTCCCAAAGTGGGCAATACCACTGTGTGCAGCTGGGGGGCACTAAATAAAAATAAGGGGGCGGTAGAAGCATAAAGAAAGAAGAGAGGAGGAGAAAACAATTAAAAAACAGTTCATACATGTTCCATCTGTTGTGTAATGATGCTTACTGCCAGGTTGGGCTCTGCTGCGGGAGGATGACAACACCACCCCTGGATCCAACTGGAGGCGAGAGGTTTTTCTGGGCTTTGGTGATCCCAGGCCCAGGAAGCTTGTCTGGCTATTTGGCCAGTAGCAGACAGGCTGCAACACTAGCCCCGCCCCTTCATTTAAAGAAGGTTGATTTCCAGGGGGTGCTGAGTATATATCCCCCCCTGAAAAGTGGGCAATAGGCCAAATAAGTTTGGGAACCTTTGGTTAAAGCATCACCACCTATAAGGGCTTAAACCCATTTTCACTTCTATCTGCATTGCATCTCTTTACAATGGCTTGTATCTGGTTAGTGGCTACATTTTGATCCAGCAAGTAGTATCCCCTAATAAAGAAGTGGTTTTACTGGTGCCCCTGGTCCCCCAAACAGACTTCGGGGGGGGTGGCAAAAGTTGCCTCGCTCCTTGTTCCTTTAGTGGACAGCTTCTGTTGGAGCAACAGCACTAGATAAATTAGATTCTGTCCATTGTCTTAAATGCCAGTCCTGCTGGTCTCCCAACACTTAGGATCAGCTTTTCAGAGCATTAGGGTCCATAGAGAAGAAGGTCCTCAAATGCCCCTTTGTGCACATGGCTTTTTAAGATCCCACTCGTTACCTTTTTGCATGCAGGTTCCAAATTGACTATTAAAGCCCTTCAAAGCACTACCTCTTAGTGAGGGCTCTGGCCCCAGGAAGTAGGAAAATGTTTGGTGTTTTCAGCATTGTCAGTAGTAAAGGGAACATTTGTGACTGATGAGAACGTTTTATTTCTTAGGTAACTGTTGGAGCTGACTGGTTTCTTCAGAGGACTTCTTTTCAGCAGGTTTGAAGATTTGGATCTTGTGAAACTAATCTGAAAGATCAGTGGTTGTTTTGTTAAATCAGACAATGTAATTAAGTTTCTGAAAGCACATCCTTCATTCATAACAGTATTTTAAGTTACCACTTATTTTAATTATTTTATCATTATATTACAAATTTTAAAGCTTTTGATATATTGGATATCTATATATGTCAATATACTTACTGAAAAACCTAATTTTGTTTGCTCATTTTGCTTTTGTTACTGGCTTCCTGCTGCAGTTTGTTCACTTTTACACATGCTAAAAATCACGTCCTTATTCGAATCATCATTATTATAGTGTCCAAAATATGTTAAAACATATATGGCATTATTTTCATGTTCACATGTTATGTAATATTAAAGTATTTTTTGTAGATTTTTGTTTCCACATTATTTCCATTATCAGTGACATATCATTTGCTGCAAGAATAGCTGCAATGATTCCTTTAATGTTTCTTATCGATAACTTCTTGTAAGATTTTGTATTTAGTAGAATACACTTTTGTGGCTATATGGAAAGACTATATAATTGTTCCTGTTCCTTAGCTTGGCTAATTGATTGAACAATAAGTGCTTTCACTAGGGATAATAAGAATCTCTCTTAGTCTGGAGTGCATAACTTCTAAATAAGTTGCTATAGCAAAACACTGTACAGTGGTACCTCGGGTTAAGTACTTAATTTGTTCCGGAGGTCCGTACTTAACCTGAAACTGTTCTTAACCTGAAGCACCACTTTAGCTAATGAGGCCTCCTGCTGCTGCCGCACCGCCGGAGCACAATTTCTGTTCTCACCCTCAAGCAAAGTTCTTAACCTGAAGGAATATTTCTGGGTTAGCAGAGTCTGTAACCTGAAGTGTATGTGACTCGAGGTACCACTGTAAGTGTATTGTAGACTCTTGACAAGGAAACTTTTACACTGTTTTACAGGCGTTGGAAAAGTATTTCCCTACAATTCAGGTGTAAATGTTATATGCCTTGAGCAGTTCCTTTAACATTTAGCGTGGATTTCCTGATGGGTTTGGTAGGAAATCGAAGCTAGCAATATGATGCACTGATAGGGAAATTACAATGAATTGTTTACATCAGGAGTAGCCAATCTGTTGCCTTGCTGGACTGCAAAACGCGCCCACATCACCTTCCCTGTCACTGGCCATGTTGGCCCCAACAACATCTAGAGGGACCACATTGACACTCCTTGCTTTGGGCAGCATATTAGTAGTAGTAGTAGTACAGTGGTACCTCGGGTTACATACGCTTCAGGTTACATATGCTTCAGGTTACAGACTCTGCTAACCCAGAAATAGTCCTTCAGGTTAAGAATTTGCTTCAGGATGAGAACAGAAATTGTGCTCCGGCGGCACGGCAGCAGCAGGAGGCCCCATTAGCTAAAGTGGTCTTCAGGTTAAGAACAGTTTCAGGTTAAGTACGGACCTCCGGAACAAATTAAGTACTTAACCCGAGGTACCACTGTAGTAGTATTAGTATTTAAGGAAGCACATGCCTGGAGTGTGTTCCAACCTCCAAGTAAGGAAAGGCAGGATTTGGTGAAAAGTAAGCCATTTTCAACCAAAAGGTTTCAAAGCTAAATTCTTCTGTAAGTAACAATTTTTTTATACGAAACGTTATGTAAAAAGCCACCCTTGTTTTGTTTTTAACTTTTTCTTTTTTGAAATAATAATGATAATAATAATAATTAAAAGCATCATCAACTGAGAGGAGCACACACATGTATTTGCCATTTATCCCTTTGAAATATGCAGAAGTAGTGATTAGGCAAGGATTGGGGCCCTTGTTTCATGTCTATCAAAGCAAATACCACATGCTTGTGTGCCTTGCAACTAGAGCAACGTGGTGCTTAAGTCCAAAATGTTGCACAATGAACTATTTTGAAACATTAGATGATAGGTTAGAAATAATAATAATAGTTTTGTATAGGACTTCCAAGGTTCAAAGTGCTTCACAGGGACTCTGTCACTATTAATATTCCCCATTATGCAGATTGGAGTGGGGAAACCGAGGCTGAGAGTGGCTTGCCTAAGGCCATCTAAGACCATGACAAAGGTGAGATTCAAGCCTACGATTTCTGATTGGTATGCTGTTTTGCTGCTTTCAGGGTATATATTATTCACTTTACTTTATGAAGAGTATCGTCATTCACCCAATTTCATGACCACAGTGCTCATGGGATGCCTGGGCCAGTGTGTCCCAAGCTAGGGTCTCCAGCTGTTGTTGGACTACAATTTCCATTATCCCTGACCACTGGTTTTGCTAGCCAGGGATGATGGGAGTTGTAGTCCAGAAACAGCTGGAGACCCATGTTTGGGGAAACCTGGCCTAGACCATGAGATCTGCTGCATCGAATGAAGCCTTCTCTCAGTTAACTCAGCCAGTAGTAGATCCCCAACAGATACGTTGATTCAGATATCACCAGATGCAAACTTTGTGATGACATCACACACTTATCCTGTATAAGGGGACTGCTCTGGGGGAAATAATCACATTGCTCAAAGCTTTGAATTGAGGCTGACCCTTACTAATGTGTAGACCTGGGCTTGCATTTGAAAGAGAACAGCACTTGCAGCAGCAAGTAACGGGGACATGTCTTTCTTGGGAATGTAATGGAGCAATATAAAACCGACTCTTTGCTCAGACTGAGCAAACGTCTGGGCCCTACAAAGAGGAGCTACTGTGGACACATAACTCTGTAAGTTGAACAAAGCCATAAAGCTAATAAGACATTTGGAAAAAATACTTGGGTGGTGGGATTTGGTGAGGCATGGGGCTTCCTGGGAGCACGTGCGTACAGAGACTAGTGAGTTTGTGAAGCATAGCAAAACTCTCACTGGCCGACGCAGGTAGGGGTAAAAGTATTCAGTAGGGACCCTGAAACTGGATGATACAGACTTGCCCTGTTTACAGAGGAATAAACTTGTGGCATGAAGACTTTTTAAAACACAGGTTGCTTCCAGGTTATTATCAGGCAGTTAGTAGTAGATGATAGGCTAATGGATATTTTCCAATACAAGACTATTTCCTTAAGGCCTCTCTCTCTCTCTCTCTCTCTCTCTCTCTCTCTCTCTCTCTCTCTGTTTTTCTTCCTTCCTTTCTCTCTCGTACACATACGCACACACATACATTCCATACTACTCATTCATAATATTCCCTGGTCACAACACAGTCTGTTGGCACATTAAAATGCAATATAAATAGATTGTTGAGTTCTGTACAAAATGTTTTTTCTTTTCTTTCCTTAAAAATGTAATGGTCCAAACTATTTCATCAATATCTGTATTTTATTGAGGTGAAGTATTGTTTCCCAGATAGTCACTTTTCTTTTTGTTACCCAAGTAACACATATGTTTGTTTTCTTAGTTATAATACCCTTGCCCCTTTTTTGGCTGTGCATGATATAACGGTGCTTTAATTGTAACATGGTAGGTTCATTTATTTATTTTCTCCTGCAGCAGAGCTGTTGCGCTCTTGTTAGTTGTTCAGCTCTCTTATAAAAACAACTTCAGTGGTTCATGCTGTGTTCAGCCTTTGCTCCTAGCAGAGAGGACTCCAACTCTGATAGGAAGAAAATATTTGTGATTGCTTTAATAACTGCTAAAGGTTACGCTGAAAAACACCAGGCACCCTCAGTGCTAAGCAGTTCCAATAGATAATGCAGTGAGATTATGATTTCTCTGCCCTCTCAGGTCTCCATTTGCCAAAGGCACCAGCTCTGTTTCTGGGGTGGGGGCGCTGGCAGGGGAGAGGAACTGAGAACATCAAGCAATGTGTGAAAAAGTTTTGGAACACAAGGTCATTTTAATTCATAGTTTCCTTTTTATAAAAAAAAACTCATCTTTGCTCAGCTTTGATATTTTTTGTTCAGAAAAGTCATTCCTCTTAAAGCCTTGTCATTAAAGAAAGTTGGCTCTTTTACAGCACATTATCAAAGAGAGTAGAAATTGTAAGTTACTGAAATGAAATTGCGTGATCAGTTCTAAGTCTGGTAACCCAAAAAAAGGAAAAAACACAGTTTGGCTTTTGTGCTAGTGCTCCCTGCCCCCCCCCCCGTATTATTGTTACAGTGAGAGTTTCCTACATTTCTTTTTTGTGCAACATTGTACAAACGTAGCCCATCCCCACTGCATTTTGTGTTTAAGTTTGGTAACCTAACACACATACTTAAAATTAGTTGGGCTTTTATGATGCTTGGGGTTTTTTTTGTTGTTGTTGTTGTTGTTTGTTATTGTGGTTTACAAAGCTCCCATAGGCTATACAAACATAACCAGCACCCCTTTGGGCTCCCCTGCCCTGAAGGTTATGGGCTACTCTTGGGCTAGAGGGTGTGTGTGAAATGAACCAAAGGATGCAATTGAAAAACATATGGCAGAAGGGTATGGCTTTTTAAATGTAAAGCCAGAAGAAGCCAAACCATTGGTTAATTTGAGTGTGAGTGTGAGTGTGTGTGTGTGTGTGTGTGAGAGAGAGAGAGAGAGAGAGAGAGAGAGAGAGAGAAACTCATTTTCTTTACAATCTGCATTACTTTTCAGTGGTAAAGTGATGGTTTAAAATGTTCACGTTGTAACACTTGTACATTCAGACCATGTATAGGTCTTTACAAGGAAACTAAGTGAAACATTTACTCTAACCTTAACATATGGATCCTGGTCAAAATCTGCCCAACTCAGATTCACCCCACTGTGTTATAGTCATTATTACTGCATTCCACTCTTGAGAGAGAGAACAGAATGGGTTGTATCCAAATAAATTTTACTCGGAGCAGACCCACTGGGTTGCACTCGGTGCTATTTTTCTAGAAAAAGAGGTGCCACAACTCACCATGAACACCTCCCTCATTCTCTTAGGATGGCACTGGAGAGGTGCCAGAACCCACCTGAGAGGTTCCAGCAAGTTCCGGCTGGAGAAAAAGCCCTGGTTGAACTCAGCATAGCACTAAGTAAATTGTTGTGGAAGTAGAGCTATTTGTGCTTGTGCAAAGGGACTCTTCTCCCCCAATCTCCTCTCCCTGTGCGTACTCTGAATTTGTTCCCCAGCCATCAGGATCATATTTGGGCAAGCAGGGGGAATCCCATCGTGCAAGCAGAAGTTGTTCCTCTTGTGCAAGGATTTAGTTGACTACCGCCCGTTGAAGTTAATGGAACTAAGATTGACATTCCCATTAATTTTAATGGGTCTACTCTTGAGTATTGCATTAGGTACAACCCATTGTCTTTCCCGAGCTATCGCACAAGGGTGACAGACTCCTTAAAAGTATCTCAAACGGTACTTTGATAACAAGCTGGGATATAATGGGGAACCATTCACCTTTCCTTCATTTTGGGGAGTCATATATTACACACACACACACAGGAAAATCGTTGTAACTTTACGCTGAAATGCAGTAGCTTTGTAGGACTAAGGTGGAAATTTGCAGACAGTAATGCACCATACATTTTCTTCTTAGAATTGTAAGCATCACAGATGTTACTCCTTTTTTCCAATAAATGAGCCTGAGTCAGGGGTAGCAAATATGGTGCCCTTCATATGTTGTGAGGCTCTAACTCCCATCATCCCTGAACATTTGCCATACCAACTTGCGCTGGTGGGAATTGTAGTCCCCACAGCATCTGAACGGCACCATATTGGCTTTTCCAGATGCAAACTATGTTAGTCCTGATCCAATATTCCCTCTGCTCATGGGAACTGCAGGTCATGTGTGAAGCTTTCATGTGACTCGTTTTCACATTAAGCTGCCTTTGGTATGGAAGCGAAAGGGGAGCCCTTGCTCACTAGAGAACTTGATTTGCACTCCTGCAATGTTAAAACCTGAATCTCTGTGACTGTAGTCCTATATATACACTTAAGTAAGTAAGAAAACGATGGAGCTTACTTCTGAGTTAGACACATATAGAATTGGCCTGTATAACTTTTGTTGAATTGGTTTTGAACACACCAAGGTGTATTTCCCTGATAAAGGTGTTCAACACCAAGTATAATACATTTGTTTGCAGCCACACACAAACTTTGTTTTCATTCAGTCATGGTCCTACTACCTGTGGAAGATATGGATTCATGTAACATTATTTTTAAAGCACTAGAATGCTTTTGTAGACCATTTGGCCATTCCAGAGGGCTCCACAAGTGACATCACAGCTCCCGAAGTGTCGCTTTTCCCACTTACCCATTTGGCTCACAGAATGTTTCCCTGGTGCCTGCCTTTGCTCAGAATGTTTCCTACCATTCTGATGATGCATCAAAAGTGTCTGAGGGATTCCTTTCCATTGTGCTTTAAGATTTGGTAAGGGAAGGGTTGGCATCATGAATGGGATGGCACGGCATGCAACACACAAAGCATCACCATCTAGAAATAACAGGGTTAATTTCCACCACACCTAGAAATAGCTAGATCACCATTTTCATATGCTATCTTGGCCCAGTCAGTAGGCACAAATTTCTAAAGTGGAACTGAAATTGCATGATTGACAAGCATGATGTTCAAACACAGATGGAGGAGGTTCGGAAGCACTTGTGGGCCATTCCAGTACTAATGGAGGGTGAGAAGAGATTTCAGGGGTGCCAGTGGTACCCTTTAAAAGTTCAAAGGATTGGATATTCTAAGCTTGACTATGAAATTCAAAGTGTTGGATACATCTAAGTTTAGATTCCAAAAACCAGTGTATATTAAGAGCATTGTTGTGGTTCATTTTCTTGTCTCACTGCTCAGGGACAGGTGCACCTCAAGAAGAACATTTTTGTCATCTGAAACATGGGGGGGGCGGTTAACCCCCCCCCCTCCATACCACACCTGTGAAAAAAGTAATGCCTCTGTAAATGCCACCATTAACTTAGCTTGCATTTTCCAGGAGACATATGCTTGCTTGTGTTCCCAAGCTTTCTCTGTGTTAAACATCCACATTCCAGCAGATTGCAGATCAAGAGGGAACCCCCCCCCAAAAAAACCCACCTTTCTCTGAAAGAGTTCAGACAGGGTACTAGGAAGTAGCACTGGCACTCCTACATTGGCTCCCAGTCCATTTCTGAGCACAATTCAAAGTGCTGGTGCTGACCTTTAAAGCCCTAAGCGGCCTTGGCCCAGTATACCTGAAGGAGCATCTCCACCCCCACCGTTCAGCCCAGACACTGAGGTCCAGCTCCAAGGGCCTTCTGGCTGTTCCCTCCCTGCGGGAAGTGAGGTTACAGGGAACCAGGCAGAGGGCCTTCTCGGTAGTGGTGCCTGCCCTGTGGAACGCCCTCCCATCAGATGTCAATGAAACAAACAACTATCTGACTTTCAGAAGACATCTGAAGGCAGCCCTGTATTGGGAAGATTTTAATGTTTGAAGTTTTATTGTGTTTTTAATATTCTGTTGGGAGCTGCCCAGAGTGGCTGGGGAAACTGGAATGCAGATGCGGCTTCTGCAGGTTTTGTTTGCACCCTCTCTCCAATCAGCTCCCATCAAGCAAGGAAGGGGCTTGGAGATGCCACAGGACAGCTCCAGGGGAAGCTGTTTCTGATTATATTGCATTATGAGAAAGCATACCAGCAGTGCTTTTCCCCCAGGAGGTACTCAGTGGTACACAGTACCAGCACCTCTTCTTGTTGTTGTTGTTAAAAAGTGTGGCACTTACTGTAACAACTTTATGGTGAGTACTGGTACCTAGGGGGGAACACTGCATACCAGCAAAGGTAATATGGATCATTTCTATAGAGGCAAAGGATAGAAAGTGCCAAGTTGGCAAGCTTACTGTACAATCCTATTACACATTTACTCAGAAATGTGGTGTATTGTATGTCAATGGAGCCATCAGGTAAGTGGGTTTTGGATTGCAGTCTAGAGCTTCTTTCCTGTTGCCCTTTTGGGGCTTTTGATTTGCCCTTAAAATCTTTCCTGCAAGACATTCTCCAAACTAATAACTCTAGGCTCCTTAGTGGTTGAGATGTAATGCATGAAACTTAACATTAATTACCCTGGGCATAGCAACTTAAGTTGGTTTGTGACTGTGATAAATCTGTAGCTCTAAAATGTACAGTAGAATGCCTTTCTATAAGAAGAGCCCGGTTGGGTCAGACCAAAATGCCTATCTAGTCCAGGGTTCTGTGCTTGCCATGCACGTGGGAAGCCACAAGCAGGATATTCAGGAAGCATCACTCTTTCCACTTATTATCACATTATAACTGTTATTTATACAGAGCCATCACTGTATATGGCTCTGTTACACAATTTAAGAGAAGGAAATCTACCCTGAAGGACAGAGCTTTCCAAATTGTGTATCGCGGCATGCTAGTGTGTCAGCTACAGTGTGTAGGTGTGTTGCACAAATGCTCTTATAAGGGGTTAGTTTAATGTCCGGTTTGCTAGTAAAATTGAATTACTGTGTCGCGAAATGATGCATGTCTTAAAAAAGTGTGTCGCCAACATGAGAAGGTTGGAAAACTCTGATCTAAAACAATGAATAAAGACGATAAAGTCAAAATCCTTAAGTTTAAATGCACGATTCACAAGACCAAAGAACCTCAGTAGAAGGACCATTCTTAACAAAGTGCTGTCTAAGCCTGCTGGGCACTATCACCACTGAGAATTCACTCTTCCACCACATCCTACATCCCCTTTGAGTAAAAAAACCCAACAACCCTCAAGTGAAGAACAGGCTGTTGTTGTGTAGTCTTCCTAGACTCCTCAGAGCACAGTTTTCAAACCATAACCAGGAGTGAGGAACCTGCAGCCCTCCAGATTTGCTGAACATCATCTCCCATCATCCTTGGCATTTGGCCACAATGGCTGGGGCTGATGGGAGTTGGAATTCAGCAGCATCTGGAGGGCTGTAGGTGCTCCATCTCTGACCCTAATCAAATGGAACGTGTCTACTACCCTCATTCTTCAATTCTAGAAGATTAAATTCAAACCAGAAGACACCTATTTTTAGTGTTGTTGTCGTCGTTTAGTCGTGTCTGACTCTTCGTGACCCGATGGACCAGAGCACGCCAGGCACTCCTGTCTTCCACTGCCTCCCACAGTTTGGTCAAACTCAGGCTGGTAGCTTCAAGAACACTGTCCAACCATCTCGTCCTCTGTCGTCCCCTTCTCCTTGTACCCTCAAACTTTCCCAACATCAGGGTCTTTTCCAGGGAGTCTTCTCTTCTCATGAGGTGGCCAAAGTATTGGAGCCTCGGCTTCAGGATCTGTCCTTCCAGTGAGCACTCAGGGCTGATTTCCATGTAAAATGTCTGTACCCAGCTACTGCTATTCAGATATTGTTATTTGTTGTTTAGTCATTTAGTCGTGTCCGACTCTTCGTGACCCCATAGACCAGAGCACACCAAGCACTCCTGTCTTCCACTGCCTCCCGCAGCTTGGTCAAACTCATGTTCATAGCTTATAGGATTATATTAAATGCTGCTGTTCTGCGGCTCCAAGACAGCAGACTTCTGCTTGCACAATATCATTTCCCCTCTTCTCCCCAGTGCACCCTGCTCCAGAGGGTTGGAGGACCATTTGGAGAAGATTTTCAGGGCACAGGAGAGGAGAGGAAGCGGAAGTCTTGGTGCACAAGTAGAACTCTCCTCTTGCAGCCTTGGATGCAACACATAGATCTTCAACCATTCTTGCATCAAGAAATCTGAGTGTAGAAGTCGTGCATGAAAGCAGTATACCTACAGAACAGTCCCATACTTCTCCTAGGTATGGTTTGATAGCTCTGTGCAAAAGATACTTGCCGGATACAACTGTCCAGATTCAGTTTAGAACAGGACTACTATACATTTCAGGTTTGTTTGTTTGTTTTTAAATGGAGCATTACTTTCACATCTTGTCTGTTTCGATCTTAAAATTGTTGCTTCTCATGTTTCCTACTCATGATTGGTATGGTGGAAGCCGGGTTCGCCAACAGCCAGAGCCAGTGATATATAGAGCCAACTAATTCTATTTTTCACCCCATCCTCTCCCTGCTGAGTGCTACAAGGGCAACACTGAGACAAAGGAGAAGGAAGCTATCAACCTCCAACCCAGACAGCTTTGTAACTAAGGGATTAGGCTGAGGGTAGGGACAGCTGGCAGCTGACAGCTTAGTAGGGCAAGCCCCCATTTGCCCTAATGGACCAGCCTCCATTCCCATCATCTATGTTTGCCCCCAGAACTAAACTCAGTACCGTACGTGGTGGTTGCATAACTGAACCCAGGATCTAAACCTGAATTTTAGACCAGGAATCTAAATTAAATTATTGTTTACCTTGTCACAAAAACAACCATTCCATCATCTGGGGTCCAATCTAACAACAGCACCTTAAGTACAAGACTGGGTGTGATAGGAGGTGTAACATCTTTTAATTCACTGGACTACTGCGCATTAAGTAAGAAATCTCTCAAAAGATCAGATTTGGGGGGATGTTCCTTGATTTAGCTTTGCTCAAGTTGTCGCAGTGGCTACAAGGGCCTATGCTTAGGTTAGGTCCTTGTGAAGCACTGTAAACCATTACACCATGCTAGGCCTCTTGCTGGACTACTGTCAAGCTCTCTTTGCGAGGCTGCCCTTGAAGACCATTCAGAAATTTCCGTCGTTGTGCTATGTTGCCATTAAGGATCATGTTGCTTCCTTGTTATGTCTACTGCTTAGCTGTAGGCTGATTTCCTTATGCAATTTAAGGTGAGGGAGGTTATTACCTTTAAAGCCCCAAACAGCTTGGGGCCAAGTTATCCAAAGGGCAAAATCCCCCTACATTAATCAGTCTGAACTTTGAGATCATCCGGCAAGCCTGTCTTGTGCAAGATTTTTCCAATTGGTTGTTTGTTTACTGATCTTTTTATCTGCCACTTTGATTTTCCCCCCTGTTTTATTTGGATTATTTTGTTGTTGATTAGCTATTTTGCTTTTTATTGATGTTAGCCAGTATAGGAAGGGGACAGAAGGGTACAAAATGCAACGTAATCAAATAACCTGGAACTCGATGCACCTTCGGACTTAAGAGAACAAAGGGCTGTGACCTCAAAGACCCAAACTAGTAGCTAGTTGTTTTGCTTTATAAGCGTTCCAAAGTAAAATTAAGATTACCAGTTCAGATCTAGTTTAATCACCGTAACACATTCTCAGTAGCTTTCATTTTTGAGATGTTTTAATTGAACAAGTAACCAATAGGTTGCACCAATCCTTGCTGGTCGTTTCCAGCAGTTTAAATACTTCACAATATCCTTGGGAGTGAGAGAAGACTGCATTAGGCAAACAGCCCAGAAGTGAATTAGCGTCATGGACAAATAAACCTTTGAGGTTTGTATGACCTACACATTCTCCATCTCCATTTCCCCCACTCACAGCAGCTAATGAGAAAACTCCACCATTTGCATTTCTGAGATTCATAACGCAATTTGCATCCTTTCAAAACACTCAAGCTGCAAATTGTCCTTCCGACTCTGACCTACCTCTGATCATGAGGCATATGTACAGGGAAGAGGAGTCTTCAGTTTTAAGGGTCATAAACCAGGTGTCAGGGTTAGGACCTTCAGGGAACAGGGGATGGAATGCTGAGGATGATGGTTTATGGAACAGCCTGCAGAATCTGGTCCACAGTACATTAACATAATAATAGCTCTTGGTGTTATAGCACCTTCCAAAGACTTCAAAGCAAATTCAACAGGGCCTCAAATTGCCTGCCTCTCTTGAACCTGCTGGCTCTGCACTTTGTTCTCCACGGAAAATTGTTCCAGGTTGTGCCTGGGATGCTTCGAAAACATCTCTCAACTCTACATCTCAAAATAAGAACAGTACACACGAACACTACGAGGATTTTAATTCTTGGAGTGAGGAATTTTAGTTGCTTCCTTTCTGTGTGAATCACCTTGATTAGAGTTCAAGGCAGAGAGGTAGACTACGGATTAAATAACAAATTTCAATGTCTGTGGGTTACACTTTCATTTTCTCATTTTTTTAACCTTTTCAGACAGATCTTTAAAACCTCAAATAGCAACTAAATAAAAGGAAACTGGTAGTTTTCTAGTGTGCTTTTGTGAAATTTCAAATACTGCAAGTCTAATATAATACATTAAATAAATAATGGAGGCCCCCTGTGAATCCAATGTAAGCAAGACAAAACCACAAAGCTCCATTGTACCTTTTCACTGTTCTCAGGAGATGCCAGTGAGGTTGAACTCTGCTCAAGGCGGCTGCTGCCAGGTATAGAGACAGTCCAGTTCCTCATATGGACGTGACTTGAATGTAGAGGCCGTCCATAATTCTCTTGCACTGTAAAAAAAAGGGGGGGTACAGGAGAAAATGAACATCTCTATCAAACAAAACCTTACAACTGAGTCTCTTGTAATCCGACTTTGGATTTGATGGCTCCATTCCTTGAAAACATCTCCAACCAGGTCTGTAGCACCTGACCTGGTTTTCTGTTAGCATCAGGTCCATGCCGGTGTGCTGGGGTGGATTTTTTTTAGAGCCCTCCAGGCGAGGGGCCAGCCTATCTCCAAGACCACCTCCCACTGTAGGAACCTCCATGCTGGTTGAAATCCTGTAATCAGGCTCTGCTCACTAAGTATGGTGAGATCACCAGACCCAGCACTTAGCACTAGGCAGTGTGAGGTGTCTGCTGCAGGCAGCCAATTTTGGGTGTCACGAAAGGGCAGCAAATGGTGAGTTATTTGTTACTGTCATATTTTTACCGCCAGGGAACAAACAGGCAAAGGGCTTGTTGGATTTTCGGCCTCAAGGGCCAGAATGACTATGCAACTTGACTTGGGAAGATGGGGCGCTATTTGCTGTCCTGCCTCAGGCTACAAAATATTTTGTGCCAACCCTGGAAATCAATAGCAGCTAAAAGCAGGGCTTTTTATGACAGGTGCCCCTGGTCTCTGGAATGACAGTCTCCATGGTCATCAGGACTCTGTCTGAAATCAACAAGACTCTCCTCGTCCGGGAGTCATTTGGAGGCTGATTTGATTGGAGCTGTTTTGTTTTGGGGCTGCTGGATTGTGCGGTGTGAGTTTGTATTTTGCTTGTTGTTTAATCACGACTTAAATGGGGGGAATAGGTCTAATGCATGCTCCAGCCGTAACAGCTGCTGGTTGTGCATTTGGTGGCAGTGTGCATAGGACTTGCATATGAGGGAGACACTGATGAAGAAATCAGTTTGAAACACACTGAGTTCAATAAAAATGTTGCTTGTGTGTGTGTGCTTTCCTCCCTTCCATTCCTGGCAGGAGGTATGGCCAGTGGTCACAACCTGCTCCCTCCAAACGTTTATGGACATGTGGGGTGGGTCATGTAATGTAGGCGCACACACAGTTAGAATTCTTAGAAAAACGAACATGAGCCTGGGAAAAATGGTAGAGACATCGATATTCTAAGATAAATTGCTGGTTAAAAACACCTACTGGTGATCTCTTACCCAAGGCCCCCCAAAACCTTGAACCTAGCTCAAATCCCTTGACTTCTAATGAGTCACTTGGGAATGTATGGCTCACTACACTGCTAGAAGCTTAGAAACTTACCTCTCAGTACAGCTGGGGGAGACCACATGTAAACCTCAGTTATAGTCTGGAAAGATTACTCAAGTTAGCATGGTAGGGTCAGTATTGCCTCAGTTCAATCACATGAATTCTTTCTTTTTTAAAAAAATAATTTTTATTCATTTTCCAAACAAGTGTGATACAATCAACAAATTGTTTTACACTCATGCTTCAATTTTTGACTTCCCTCAGTTTCTCTGTCAATCTTTCGAAAAATTTCTAAACATGATATTTCTAAAACATGCCTTTCCCCACTCCTTTTCCTCTTACTTTCTTTTTTGCAGTATTTCTTACTATTTCACAGAGTCTCTTCAAAACCAACAAGCGTTGTCTGTACATCACATATATTTTTCAGATATTCTGTAAATTTCCCCCAGTCCTCGATAAACTTTTGGTCTTTCTGGCATCGAATCTTCCCAGTCCACATGAATTCAAACTTGAGGGGTAAATACAGATTTTGGTATTTACAAACTTGGTACAAATACAAACTTGGTAAATACAGATTTTTTTAGTGCTTATTTATTTTATGATATCTCTCTCTTACATTTTATATATTTGTTCCATCCTACTCCTTCCTTCCCAAGGACTTTGCACAATTATGTCAGTTTACCTCATAACGCCACAAGGTAGTTCAGACTAAAACATCCTGTTGCCCAAGGGCCAGGTTGTAAGCATGAGGGGGAAATCTGGCAGTCTAGTCCCCTCTGGAATATTACCCTCTGAAATATCACTTTCCTTTTAAAAGTAAGTCTCTACTCCTGGAGGTATCAAAAGCATGCAGACAGTCGTCTGCCCAATGGCTCACTAAGAAGTAAATGTACAATTGGGTATTCCAGTGTTCTGATAACTGAGTACAAAGGACAGAATTCAACTAAGTAGCCCCACTAGCAGATGTTTTTGCACAAGGGTGCTTGCTGGCACAACAGAGCTTTCCCTTCTCCCCTATGACCCCCAAAGTTGGGTTGGAAGGGGTAGAACAACCCCCAGAACAGCACACAGGGGGAGGGGTGCATCTGAACGACTTGTGCTGATGGAACAATTGCCATAGCCCTACACTGAATTCCTCACTGGGATAACTGACATGAATTTGGCCGTTAATTTTAGTTTATAAAAATGATATTTTACAAAATCACTTTTATTAAAATAGAATAAATTTCAAAACATTAACATTTCAGAACATATTAAGCTGCCTGATTGATTGTTTTGCAGTCACTTTTTGCCTTCTCAGTACAGTGGTACCTCAGGTTACATACGCTTCAGGTTACAGACTCTGCTAACCCAGAAATTGTACCTTGGGTTAAGAACTTTGCTTCAGGATGGGAACAGAAATCGTGCAGCAGCAGCGCAGCAGCAGCTGGACGCCCCATTAGCTAAAGTGGTGCTTCACGTTAAGAACAGTTTCAGGTTAAGAACGGACCTCCAGAACGAATTAAGTTCTTAACCTGAGGTACCACTGTACACAAGTTCTGGCTGCAAATTTTCCCAGGCCAAGCATGACAGAGCAAGAATTTGAACCTCAGTTCCAAAATCCAAACCCAGTACTCCAGGTACCACCACTGTTTCAGGTTTTGCTCTAAGGGTCGTAAGCACTGTGCTTTCGGTTATATAGGTTACCTGGGAAATTTTGAATTGGAAAATTCAAAATGGAAATTTGCAATTTTAGGCACTTATGCATGTGGCAATTGCAGAAGAAGAAAAAAGTAAGTTTGCAGTGCAACATTTTCCTATGCCCTAGAGAGTGAACTTATTTGGCATGTTTACTGCACTTGTATTTAGTAAACAAAGCAAAACAACAACCTTGACACTGCCAAGCTTGCCCAATATTGCATTTGGCAATTGGCATCCATTCATTGTTGCAAATGAGCTTGTGAAACGGAAAATCTTTCACAGAAAAATAAATCACTAGAAAATTTCCCTTGCAGCCCCTCTTCATGCTCTATGCCTTTCTTTAGTGCTGCTTCATATGAATGCTGCTGCTGCTGCTGCTGCTAATAATAATAATAATAATAATAATAATAATAATATTTTACCCCAGCCCTTTTCCCTGAGAGGGACTCAAGGCAGCTTACAGATAAAATAAGAACAGCTAAAAACATAGGAAGAGGAATGAAATAAAAATACAGGTAAACATTATTCCTATATGCCGATCATCTCTATGTAGGAGAAAATGTGTGACGTCATTCATGAGAAGCTGGGCAAGGGTTTAGATTACCCAAAGGTCATGGACCAAGCAGCCCCTGCCCTATTGGGTTGTGGTGAAAAACTCTTGTGCTGTACTTCAAATGTGATAAAGAGTAGACTTCCCTCCCTAAACCTCCATGCGAGAGTCTCCTCCAATTCGCCCAGGCTGTGCTAACATGCTGTGTGTGACTTTGAAAGCATCCCCCGCTTCCCACCACCACAATCTTTGTTACCTGGCCTATTGTGGGCTTGGCAGGGCCAATGGAAGAGTGGTCTGATTCGAAGTGCAAGTGCCAACCAAGTTTAAACTCTCCAGCTCCCCACCAGGAGGCAATTATTGCCTCGGTCGCTTCCTTTGTTCTCGGTCTGCCATGAACTGCGATCAAATTAAACGGGCCCTTGCCAATGGCTCCTGCTCATTTGCAATAGAAACCTCCTCACACAAATGGCACCGGGGACGGGTCCTCTTCTCCCTGAATGGGCAAAGTGGCTTAATTCAACAGCTCCTCTGTGTCCGGTCCTCTTTTCCTTCTCGCCCACCATGTTTCCCATGCCACGGAATTTCTCCATGTTTTCCCTCATGATTGTCTAGGGAGGAGCAATTTGAGAAATGTTGCTTGTCCAAGAATTGTGCTTCGGCTGGTCATTTATTTGTTATCATTTGCTAAAACTCCCACTGGAGCTACATGGCAGAGACAATTGAATCATCCTGGTGAATTAAAGCAGACAGAATTTTAATCATCTTTTTTTTTTTAATGTATAAAGGAAATTGATTTTATTCCTAGGAGGGGATTCTGTGTGGTCTCGTACTACTTGCTTCTCTGGCTGAAACCCCAGACCTAGGATGAACTAATTAATTGAGTTTACTCCACACAATGCCTGGCAAAGGCCCTCTGCAGAAGCTTTTAGGGAAATGAGTAGAAATGCTGCCGAAACAGTTGTTTACAATGGCGTGAGGTAGCTTGGAATGATGGAGAGGCTGTGCATGCTGTTGCTTTCAAGCGGCACAATCTATAAATCACTGGCAGGCACAATACGCCAAAGGCCAGGTTGACTGCCTTGAAGTCAGCTGTGGCGATCTGGTGCTGTGGATTGGCTGCAGCGGCCAAGGAGCTCACAGTTTCGTTTGCTGTAGTTCCTGCTCTTCCACAATGGATAGCTCTCCCCCTTTATTTGAGACAGGGGTGGGGAACCTTTTCCCACCCAACAGTTGCATTCCTCCACGGGGTCACACGCCAATGGAAGGTAGGGCAAGAAGCAAAACTGGATGAATAGCCATGAATGCGATTTCTACACACAGCTATTTCTGTTGTTGTTTAGTCGTTTAGTCGTGTCCGACTCTTTGTGACCCCAAGGACCAGAGCACGCCAGGCACTCCTGTCTTCCACTGCCTCCCACAGTTTGGTCAAACTCATGCTGGTAGCTTCAAGAACACTGTCCAACCATCTCATCCTCTGTCGTCCCCTTCTCCTTGTGCCCTCAATCTTTCCCAACATCAGGGTCTTTTCCAGGGAGTCTTCTCTTCTCATGAGGTGGCCAAAGTATTGACGCCTCAGCTTCAGGATCTGTCCTTCCAGTGAGCACTCAGGGCTGATTTCCTTCAGAATGGATAGGTTTGATCTTGCAGTCCATGGGACTGTCAAGAGTCTCCTCCAGCACCATAATTCAAAAGCATCAATTCTTCGGCGATCAGCCTTCTTTATGGTCCAGCTCACACTTCCATACATGACTACTGGGAAAACCATAGCTTTAACTATACAGACCTTTGTCGGCAAAGTGATGTCTCTGCTTTTTAAGACACACATGCAAACACACAGGGTTATTGGCATCCATCTGTCTCAAGAGACAATGGAGTGCACCTCTGGAGGTGAGGTCAAACTGCTGTATTAGCAGCACCAAAGTGAGCGCTCCGGGGCACAAACCAGGGCAGTGCATATGGAGGTCCTGGGCTGCCCAGACAACAGGACCCCCCCCCCATCCTTCTCGGCCTCACTGACGTGGTCCAAAGGAAAGCAGAAAAATATGTTTGGCACCAACATGGCTGCAGGAGTTGCTGGAAAGAGGTGTACAAGGCACCATCCAACTGCCTAGGGACTCCACTCTGGATTTCTGTAAGGGTTTACTCTTTAGCCTTTTATTCTCCAGAAGATATCCCACAAGCCAGCGGAGATTTAGGGTCAGAGTTTTCCTAGATTGGCTGCCTTCCCAGGTTGATGAACACCATCTGCCCCTCACTACAGCATGTGCAGAAACCGCCTTCTTGACCTTTCGGCCCACTTGAGCCCCAATTGAATCTTGTCCACTCAATCCACAGAAGGGAGCAGGTTAGAGCTGAGTACAGTGGGGACCAAAGGTGGACAAAGTACCCAAGAAGGTGTCCCCCACCAGAGGTACTACCCCTCCACTAACACTACACACACCCATCCAGGGAAGCACATTCCAGCTGGTGCTTTAACGTAGAATTGGTTCACATTTGCAAGATGTGTTCGACTCTTACTGTCGAGCCGTAAAAGCTGCTTGACAGTGGAATGGTCTCCCACGAGAGATGGTGGACTTCTTCTTCCTTGGAGGTTTTTAAACAGAGGTTGGGTGGCCATCCGCCAGGGATGCTTTAGCTGAGATTCCTGCATTTCAGGGGGTTGGATTTACGATTACCCTTGGGGTCCCTTCCAACTCTACAATTCTATGATTCTAAGTGTTCAGTAATCGGGTGACGAGGGGGTGAAATTGCAACAGTTAGTGCTTCATAGTGCCTAAGTGAGTAAGCGATGAATCGGGGAGTCTCTGGTAACCTCTGCCACAAACTCTTAGGCAAGCCATACTCCACCATGTTTTAGGGTTGCCATATTTCAAGAGGTAAAAATCCACACACAAAAAGTGGTTGTGCTTTTCGAGGGCAATCATCTGATAGCCCCTCCGCTGCCAAGCCCAAGCTGCCCATGCCAGAGCCCGGGTCATCCGTGCCAGAGCCACCCATGCACATTTTTTTTAAAAAAAACCCCAAATCCAGGACATTTGCTTTAAAATGTAAAATTCCCCCTAGATGGGCATGTAGGGCCCACAAAAGAGGACATGGCTGGAAAGTCCCAGACGTATGGCAACCGTATTTTACACATACATACATACAAACACACACACACCACCTGCAATATGAGAGACAACAGTGCTGCCTTAAGGAGCACGGTAGTTGTAAAGATTATAATAACTAGAAAATGGCATGCACCCTGCCATACAGGCAGGTGGAATCTAAGCAGCCTGCTGGGGCGTGGGTGGCACAAATCAGGGGGCGAGGCCTAGAGCAAAATTGGGTGGGGCAGCAAATGTGACTTTTCCCTTTGTACAGAAGATGAGTTTTCTACACACACTCGCACGCCCTCCAATCAGGCAAACAGGAAGCAATATCAAAGTTCAAGGACACATTTCATCGGGGGGGGGGGAAATACTTAAGGAGGATACAAAGCAGAGCTGGTGCGGTGTGTGGCCTAGGGAGAGGGTGTGTAGCTTGGGAAGAGTCCCAAGGGCCAGAAGGAAAGGCCTTGAGGGCCACATTCTGCCCCCAAGCCTGAGGTTCTCCACCCCAATGGTATGTCTTAGGTGGTTCTGGTTTTGCCCAGTCTGAACTGAAGAATGGGGAACTGCAGAATGAACGAAGGCATTTTGCACATTGTATTAAAACATAGTTAAAATATACTACGATTTAACGTAAACATGCATGCTGCTGAAATAGGTAAAATAGGTTATGTCCAGTCAAATTTGACTATGGGGTGTGGTGCTCATCTATGAGGGAGCCAGCGTTTGTGCGCAGATAGCTTTCCCGGGTTATGTGGCCAGCATGACTAAACCGCTTCTGGCTGAAATAGCATGCACTTAGCTCCTCTTCTGCTGCTGCTGCTGCCACCTGAAAACAAACCATGATCTGGCTTAGTATTGTGCTCAAACCCAAGCTTGTGGTTTGTTGGTCACCGGGCAACACACAGCCAAGGTTTGTTCTCGGCTTACTGCTCATAGTTGGTTTTTTTTTTGGGGGGGGGGGAACAAAGCATGAACCTGGATTTGGATGTAACGCTAAGCGGACCATGGTGAGGAGCAGGGGAGAAGTCACGCACACTGTGTGTTTATCTTAAACCATAGTTTATATTAATGATTGCTGAATGTGATGTGTGAACCAGACCTCTCTCTCTCTCTCTCTCTCTCTCTCTCTCTCTGTGTGTGTGTGTGTGTGCAGTTGTCAAACAAAAGAGCAATAAAGATGTGGAGAGCCCCATCTATAGCCTTATTTTTGTAGAGACTTATTTTCTGTTTGGAACAAAACTGCCATGCCAGGAGTAAAATGTTTACAGGGTGGGGGTGCACAGATGAACCATTTATCACTCATTTTGGGATCACCTGTGGTAAAATGCTCCTCAGTCTCCTTATTGGGAGAAATTAGCTAGTAGATTTTATTTTTATTTTGTTTATTAGATTTAAATACTGCCCTTCATCCTAAGATATCAGGGCTGCTCACACAATAAAATACAGGGCAAAAACAACAACAAAACAGCATAACTACAACTCTCCCCCTTCCCACAGACACATTTAAAATAAGGTTACCAGATTTTTTTCAATGAATCCGGGGACACTTTTCAACTTCAATGGATTTTGTATGGGGACTGATTTGTAAATCCGGGGACTGTCCCCAGGAAACGGGGACTTCTGGTAACCTTAATTTAAAAGGCTGTAGAATATTAATCAGCCCAAAGCCTGGTTGAAAAGGAAATATAGATGATGTGAAAGACCTCAGCCTGGAGAGCTGCTGCCAGTCTGAGTCAACAGTATTGGGCTAGATGGACTGGATATATATAAGGCAGTTTTCCCATGGACTCTACACAGTTGTGCATTGCCTTTAAGGAATTAGCTTCATGATACTTCTACTGTTGCTTTTTAAATTATTATTATTATTGTAAGCCTCTTTTGAGAGCCCCTGTGGCCACAAAGCAACCATTACATTTAAATATAAATAAACAAACTCGCCCAAGCTTAAGTGTGACCTCAAACATGCAAGCCCTCTCCTCTTTGCGCTGCCTGGAGCGTATCCAAGGGGCCCTTTCATTCCTCCCTCTAATTTAGTTTACTAGCAAAACGCAGCAGTGAGATTACTTTTTTTAAAAAAGAAAATATCCCTTCCATGCCTGCAGAGCTTAGAAGGAGCTGCCCCAGTGACCCGGTTCTTCCAAATCTCACCATTTGTCTTCCCTCAAAAGGGGGACCTGGAATTCCTGGCTACCTTGGAGCCTGTGGTCATGAGGACACTGCAGACAGGATTACAGAGGGGGCTTTTCTTTCTCTAGGCCGGGGCTGGGGGTTTGTCTGCATTTCTCTTCTGACATCTCATCTCCAAGGAAGCTCTCTCTCTCCCCCCCCCATCCCGCCGCTGCCCACACACCCCCACCAGCGAGCCCAGTCTTCACTTTCTAAGAAGGATGCTACCCACTGAGCTATTCAAAGCAGTTAAATGAGAAAAGGGGGTTAATAAAGCACATGTTGCGGGTGGGGTAGGGGGGGCGTAGAGAAAAGAAAAGATTAGAAGGGCTGATGTTTTGGCTATGGGGCCTTCTTTTGACCATGAAGTGGGGGGGGGGGGGGAGAACAAGATTATTGTTCGCACGCACACACACACACACTCCTTTCCCACTATCCAAAGGACTTCATAGCCAGAATGCCACCACTAATCCAATTGTCCCTCACTAACAAGTTTTATCAACATAGTTCTGCAATTCTATGATCCCTCTCCTCCACCTCACCCTGCCAGCCATCTCTGCATTCTGACACCTGTTCTTTCCTTATTATTATTATTATTATTATTTATTATCTTCTCCTCTCTCCAGAGTACATTTTCAGTTTCAGATAACAAGGTACCTATTCGTTACAGCCCCCCTCTCAACCTTTGCTTCACTGAGAGTTGTGATCCTAAACCACCCTTACATGTGCAAAGATACATAACATGGAGAATCTCTTCCCTCGAGAAAGACCTGAGGTGGTGGAAGGTAGACCTTTGAGGATCAACAACACCTCGGAATTGGGGGTGGGTGGGTGTCCTAATCCCACCCCCTTTCTTTCCAGACAAAGACATTCCATTCACTTTCCAGCATTAAACGGCTCAGACCTTCCGCATCCACAAGGCTTCCACGAAAACAGGGAGACGGGCGATTCGAAGTAATGGAGAAGTCTAGCGAAACATCAGTTGACACCATCTCACGTTCTATTTCTAATCTTCAGGGATGAGGGCCCACAGTTAACAGAGCCAAATCAGCAATGCCCACCTACAAGGAAGGAGGTCTTGGCAAACCTGGGGTAGTTTGCAGAAGTAGATGGGAGTTAGAGGGGGAAGGACCCGAAAACGTCCCCATGATGGCTAAGCATGCTCAGTGTCCGTTAATGCCAACTTGACTGTTGGAGAGGGAGGTTAAAAACTGGGGTGGAGGAGATGCAATGGAGTGTCTAGAAAATTAGAAGCAATATAAATATAAATGGGCTGGACAGATCCCTCTCATCGTCAGGATAGGGCGCTTCCTAGTTCACAGTAAGAAGCTGTTTTTAAATATCCCCAGGAAAAGATGTCAATAACTGCCCATAGAAATCGGGGCGGGGGGGGCCTTAATATTGCTGGGCTTGGACACCAGTGCATCCACACACACCCCCAACAGAGAGTTCCTGCTCTTCTAAGTTCTTATTTAGTGTGGTTATTACAAAACAACCCTGCCAATGGAATTCCAAAGTGAATTATCCCCAAGTACAGCAAGACCTACTACTGCCCTGCAGTGTAGGCAAGGCTTTATGTGATTTCTGTGCTGTTCAGAGGTATTAGGACTCTGTTTCAGGTTGGATGTTAGGCAGAAATACAGAGGGTGTTATCCATTGCTTCTATCCCCACACTGCAAGTTGAACTGAGGCAGCAGGATACAACATCCCTGCAGTGCGGTTCACTGTAATATACCCTACTGCAAGCGGGAGGGCTGTGTTGAGTAACTTACAATATCCCCATTAGCATTGCAGACTTATTTAAATTGCGCCCCCCCCCCCAAGATCTCCTCTCAGCTAAATCAAGTACTTAATTGACTTGCATACACAGCTCTCTTTTTTTAAGCTATCTTTAAGAATTGCACATGAAGTAAAAAAACAGAACCACATTAGAGCAGTGAAAAGTCACATCCAGTTTAGGCTTCATCTGCAGCTAATTTTTTTTTAGATTGTATCAGGGCCGGATTTAGGTTTGATGAGGCCCTAAGCTACTGAAGGTAATGGGGCCCTTTATATGTCCAGCTGTCCTTTGTCAACAACAAATTGTCACTGCTTTTTGTGTTGAATATATGCCAGTGATATTTTAGGGAGCAGGCTAGCCCATTTACTTACATCATAGGAGCCTACACAACACAACACAAACCACTGTTGCTGTATGTAGGATTTTATTTTATTTTATCTTATATTTTGGAAATGCACATCCAGGTTTTCTTTCCTTTAATTTTTTTGGGGGCCCCCAAAGAGAGTGGAGCCCTAAACTATAGCTTGTTTAGCTTATACGTAAATCCAGCACTGGATTGTAGCCATCAGTTTTAGGGGAACTGATAAAATACAAAACGTTGCTTCCAAGGATGGCCAAACTTGACCCTCCAGCTGTTTTGGGACTACAACTCCCATCATCCCTAGCTAACAGGACCAGTGGTCAGGAATGATGGGAATTGTAGTCCCAAAACAACTGGAGGGCCAAGTTTGGCCATGCCTGTCTGATAAAGGTTAAAAACTAAGTAAAAAATGCTAAATGCCGTGCTGATTGTGTGATGCTGGAATTCCTCCCAAAACTAAGAGTCTTGTGCCACCTAAAAAACTAACAATTTCTTATGGCATCAGTTTACATGGATCACAGTTCGCTTCATCAGATGCCAATGAGTTGGGTAGGTATGTATGTAAGGGAGGGACACCAGGGGGAATGAAATGCAAAAAAGGATAGGCAGTGACAATTAGAGAGACAATTATGTGACCAATTAACAAGGCAGCGCTGGTGAAAACTGCAAACGCCCTACAACTTCTACCCGGAACACACCACAAAATTCATTGTACATACAGCCCAAGCACAAACGAAGATGCAACCACATCTGTTCAGACTAATTGGGCAAGAGGCCAGCAACTTAAGGATTCACAGCAAACATTGGTAATCGACGCATTTAGTATGATGAAAATCAGCTCATCTCGATTCAAGCAACAGATAACAGAACTGAATTGCCTAATAAATTGCAATTTAGGGTTTCACAATGGAGTTTCTCTTTGATGTCCCTTTGTTTGAAGTGCAACTCAAGGTCAGTTGCAGAGCGTTCTGGTAGACTGAAATAAGTTTCTGGACTTTGCCATAGTTGATATCAACTTTGTGTTGATTTATTCATCTTGCATCAATTGATCTGCTGGCCATGTGTTAAATGCTGGCAGCCGATGACACACAGCACTTTGAATTAACTGTGACAGTATGTCTGGCATTGCTAGGTTCTGCAGTAGTGTTGCTACTGCTTGGATATGGGGACAAAGCTGGCCTCTTGACTTGTGTCTGTGCCTTTTGCTGCTGATTTAAGTCGGAGGAATGGTGTGTAAGCAAGTACCGGCCTGCCAACCCAAGGCCTGCGAAAGGGCACTGTCATTATCCAGGACTGGCTGTAGATAAATGACGCCTCTTTTGCCCTTGCAGCTTGGAGCAGCCCAAATGGGCCCACCTCTCTGACTTTCTCAATTCCCTCTTTAAAACGAAAAATGCCCTTATTGGGAATGATGGTTCTCAGAGTCTCCTGAAGGACAGCATTGGGTGTCAGGGTAGCATCTCCTCCTGGAAAAATGTGGGCATTTGCTTCTCCTGGAGGGTCCTGCCAGGGCCAGCTCAACCAAGAGGCAAGCTGAGGCAAACGCCTCAGGCAGCAGGATTCACCGGGGAGTAGATCCCTAATGTTGATCTTTCTTTTCCATCTTGTTACTGATATAGACCTTACCGCAGCCCTTCTTCTTTGGTGAGGAGGGGGATGCCATTTTGGAGTCCTCCTCAGGTGCCAAAAAGGGCCCTATTGTGAAATGGTGGCCTGGGGAGAGGGGTGTGTTGTGAGGAGAATTTTGAGGGCCAAGTAGAGGGGTTTTGAGAGCCCATTTGGCCCCCGGGCCTGAGGTTCCTCGCCCCTGTGTTATAAGCCTAACGTAGGATATTTTTCCTCACTCACTCTCTTGGCACTTTCTTTTAAATACAAAAAAGAACAGAGGAGGGAAAATGTCAGGCCTCACACCGAAAAGGTGTGTCGTGAGGGACTGCTGCTAAGGCCGAATAAAAGTAGGCCGCTAGTGTGTAATGGGGAAAACCTTGCCTCAGAGAAAACACATTAATCTCCATTTACCTGTAATTCCCACCAGCTGTCCTTCTCAGCCAGCCACTGGCTTTTGAAATGGGAGCAATTTGGCGCTGACCTTCAGGGAAGTGTTAGCCGTGCACCATGTTGAAAGACGAGGAAGGGAAGTAGAATTAGAAAACTGGGCTGTTTGGGAGGCCTCAGCCCTCAAATAGTTTTTTTATCCCCCATGTTCTTCCAGTAAAGGACCAACAGAGATTCTGCCGCTTTGTTTACCTTGGGACATGCCAGGTAATCTCCTCAAAGCCACTCATAATCTTGAGCAATATTCAGCTGCTAGAGGGCTAGACCTTGAGATAGAAACCCTCTTTAAAGAAAGGTGTTAGAATAATGGTTGGGAAGCTGAATGCTGTGTTTGTTCACGGGGTACGCAAGTGAGGGGGGAAGTTGTAAATGAAATTCACCCCTGAAAATGTGTGTGTGTGTGTGTGTGTGTGTGTGTGTGAGAGAGAGAGAGAGAGAGAGAGAGAGATCAAAGTTTTGCAGCTGATCTCATAAGGCTCAGCTTCCTGGGAAAAAGGGGATTGCTAATACTATGGCAGCTTTGTGACAAGGGAAGTTTTGCTCTTGTGGTTGGAAATATTGTCAGGGTATAGAAGGGGAGGACACACCAGATGTTGTCCCACCAAGACAAAGAGAATAACGGAGAATCAAAAGTGAGAGCAGGGGCTGAAAGGAGGGATTGGGGGGTGTTTGTCTGCACACATGCGTGAGCACATGAACAGGGTATATTGGCTGTGACCTGGTGAGAGGCGGCCTGCGATTGCTACCACTGAATGCAGCAGTTCCTGTCAGTGAAACTGAAACAAGCAAAACCCAGAAATGTCTTCACATCTAGGTTGGTAATGCTTGTGGAAAACACAGTTTAGAAGCTTCCTGGGTATTGAGCATTTTGTTTCTGCATTTGGCTCTTCAGAAATGTAGGGCCATGTTTACGGCAAGGGAATGTGTGCACAGAGATTTTCCTGCCTTCCCCTGCCCATCCTATTGGGTGTACTCAATCCACTCATCATATTGCTACAAGCCTTATGATCCTCTTCTGAACTAATGGGATCATAGGAAGGCAGAGCATCTTATACAGGGAAAACCCACAACCTCCCAGGCTTTCCTCCCAAGTACACACTAGGACCTCAAGACATTCCTATGTAGGCATGCCCTTTGATTAATTTCCTATATAGCAAATAATCTTGCTTTATAGTGAATTCTCCTAGGACATGACATGTGATGTGGTTTGTGTGTGAGTATAGTGATGGGTAGCCTGGAAGACATGGGGGTTGATTTTGTTTGCATAGGCTACTAAACTCAGAACAGATTACTCCTAGTGCTTTATCATGCTGACCTTGCAATTGATCATTAACACATTAGGGCACTTCCATTTGTGAGCAGCCCTCAAGGCCATTTATGTTAATGTCCAAATGTCTGATTGTTGTTGCTGTGAAAGATAAAGAAACAGAGGCATTTGTAATGCAAATGAACATTCTGACCAAAACAGATACTACCTTCAGATTACAGTGGTACCTCGGGTTAAGTACTGTATTTAATTCATTCCGGAGGTCCGTACTTAACCTGAAACTGTTCTTAACCTGAAGCACCACTTTAGCTAATGGGCCCTCCTGCTGCTGCTGTGCCGCCGGAGCACAATTTCTGTTCTCATCCTGAAGCAAAGTTCTTAACCTGAAGCACTATTTCTGGGTTAGCGGAGTCTGTAACCTAAAGCGTATGTAACCTGAAGTGTATGTAACCCGAGATACCACTGTACAAACCTGGCTGAAGCAAGGAGCCTTAAAGCAAATTAAAAAAAAAATTTACGAAATGAGAAATAAAAAAATGCTCTCCCTCTACCTACTCCATTGAGCATAGTGATAACCTTCCTAATTATAGAATCCTAGACCTGGAAGAGGGTCTTGTGGACCTCCCAGTTCAGCCCTTGCTTGATGCAGGAAATCCAGAGTGAGAGTTTCAAAACAGTTTGAAACCACCCCACCCAGGCAGCACTCGCCACTCCCAGCAATTTATCACCTTACAGACCCAGGGATTTTGCTGGCATCATTGCTCATCCTGCTATATTCTCTTCTCTACATCCTGATTTAAGCAAACATTCCTAAAAGACAGTCCCATGGAAGGATTCCTTTCAGGCTGTGCAGATATCTGGCCATGGTGCATTTTTTAAAAAAATTAAAATATTTCTGTTTGTTCTTTTGCTCTGGATTACGCAGGTCACTTTGTACCGGGCAGATACATAGAAAATCCTACCACGGGCTAAGGAAGGGGACACGGTGACCTCCTAAAAATCCATTGCAGACATGCCGTTTTCTGATAAGCAAGCACAGGGGGGCAGCTCTCCGCACACAGCAGAAAGAGTCAAAAGACTGGGCTCCTGGAACACTTCAGACCACAAGCAGGGCAACAGCATTTTTGAATGCTCCCCACTCCCCCAGAGGTTTAAAGACAAAACAAACTCCTTTCGAGGCAAAAACAAGAATAGCAGGGAGAAATTCTAGACAACCCTGTCTCTGTAGTCCTTGGGAAAGCAAAAAGCAAAACACATTCAGGGGTGGTTTAATGCTCCATTTTAATTTATTTATTTATTGGCTTACTGCTGGACAATAAACAAAGTATCCAAGCAGCGAACACATCCACGAAGCGGCATAGAAACACCTAGTCAACATCTGGACAGTGATAACGCAGTTACCGATGGCTGAGCGATACATCAGAAAAGACTTGTGCAAACAGGAGCGTTATGAAGCAGGCAACCAAAGCAAAGCATGGATGGTGGTTGCTTAATAATAATAGGCAAAGATTGCCACAGTCCAGGTGCAAGAGCACTAAATGCCTTGTAGCATCCTTAATAGAGCCCCTCTGGCTGTACATAAAAATTGGACAGGTAGATATGGGGCAAGATGGTCCTTCATGTCAACTGTTCTCAAGGCTTTAATATACTGATAGTAAGACTGTGAATTTGAACCATATAAGCAGCCAGTGCAGTTCTTTCAGCAGAAGTTTTTTATGCTGTTGGTGGGAAGCCCCCACTGGCAACTGGGCTGCTGTGTAAGGGAAGCTCCACGTTGCACTGATTTTGAGATTCCCAATGTGCAGCACCTAAGCGATCCTAATTCTTTCAAAAGTTTATAGGAAGAGTTCCCAGCTTCCAAGACCACAGGAGCCTCTAGTGTTAGAGATGGATCCACCCCAGACGGCAAACTTGCTCCCTCAGAGGGCGGTGTGTGTGTGTGTGTGACTCCACCCAGAACTGCCTGTCTCACAGATCTGCTCGCCTCCCACAGCACCTTTATCTTGTTGCGATTCAGAGGGCAGTTTATTGGTCCCTGTCCAGCCCAACGCTTACATCCAGGCACCGGTTCCAGGTCTTGCACATCCAGGTCTTGCACATCCTTCCCTGATTCAGATGAAATAGAGGAGGAGAACTCGGTGTCATCAACATTCTGATAGCATCCCGCCCCAAAATGTATAACAATCATTCCCATTGGCTTCATTTCATATGGATTTTTTTAAAAAGCATTGGTGAAAAAATGGTTTTGTGTGTGGTACACCATAGCATAAAGCCCAGGAAGCTTCAGGTTGGAAAAATTGTATTTGAGGCCAGGTTGTTGATAAGCAAACAATTTATTAATTGAAATAATAAGAACGAGCTGTTACTAAAAACAGGCCTCAGCACAGAACCTATGTCTCTGCTTCTAGCCATGTGACTTAGTTACATACCCTCCAATATTTCTCCAATTAAAATAGGGATGTCCTATTTAATAATAATAATAATAATAATAGATGATGATGATGATGATGATGATTTGTATCTGACCCATCTGACTGGGTTGCCAAGGCCACTCTCGGTGGTTTCCAACATATATAAAAAGGTAATATGACATCAAACATTAAACACTTCCCAATACAGGGCTGCCTTAAGATGTCTTCTAAAGGTTGTAGAGTTATTTATCTCTTTGGCTCAGGGGTCACATAACTCCATACTCTCCAATACTTCTCCAATGAAAATAGGGAAAAGTGGGACATTCTGGGATTTCTGTAAATCTGGGGCTGTCCCAGGAAAATAGGGACACTTGGAGGCTCTCTAGTTTCCTCCTGCTCAAGGAAACTGTTTATTATAGAGCAGGTTTCTCTCTCTCTCTCTCTCTCTCTCTCTCTATATATATATATATAGAAGGAGAGCACTAGGAACAGGTATGTCCCCACTGTGGAAGGACGTGTGGATCCAGAATTGGCCTCCACAGTCACTTATGGACTCACTGATAAGACCGTGTTCGTGGAAAACAATCTTACTTGGCTACCAGTGATCACCAAAGAAAGAAAGAAAAGACTTTCACTTTGTTCTGTTGAATCCGGCCATAGCAAGGAAGGCAAAACAACCTCTCTCGCTTTACTTCCTGCAGGGCTAGGAGTGGCATGCCAGGTGTTTTGTTCAACACAGAACTGAGGGAAGGTAAATTAATGGGCGCCTCTTTATTTTTGTGCTGCCAGGGATGGATACAGCTGAGCCGAGTCATGCGTGCTGTCAGAACTGGCCCTTTGCTGCTTCGAGGATCTTCGGTGCAAGGCTTTTTAACAGGTACACCCCAGGGGCTGTATTGGATTGTGTGGCTGTATGGGGAGGGAACTACAGCCGTTTTCCCTAAGTCATCTCAATCTCAGGAATAGGTTGCTCATTCCAACATCAGGTGTGCATGCTCAAGATTACTTGTTCATTGCGATTAGAAGCTTCCACCATGGAAAACGCTGTCAAGAAGTCTATGTGGTGAGTGGGTTTCTCACCCTTTCAGTGCTTGCCTATGGATGAAATGGAAATTCCGTGCTGTGCTACTGACTTTTTTAAACAATATATTGCTTATTGCATGTTGCTGCCCTTGTTCTGCCTCTTCTCCAGATTGTTCAGAGCAGTGTACGTACACAGTTCCCTCTGAATCTCCCCTCCCCTTTATCCTCACAACCAGGGGTGCCAACCTGAATAAAATATTGCGAGGGGGCGGTAAGTCATTCCTTCACATACTGTATTTGAGGCTCCAGGAGGCGGCCTGGCCCATAGGGCGCACCTAGTTTTTGGGGGCCAGCGTAACACGCGCCCCCAGGTGGCTGGAAGAACTAGGTCGGGAACATGGTGCGCTGCCTCCTGGCTGTCCCCTGAGCTTAGGCTGGGCAATGGGAGAAGGCTGAGCCAGACGGCAGACTTGCAAGTGGCCATCGGGAGCGGCTCGCGCCCGGCCTCCCGGTGGCCGCAAGAGAGCCAAGGCGCTGAGCCGGGGACCCGGCAGGGGCGCTCTGCGCGCCATCGGGAGCGGGGCGGGACTTCGCGCCCGGCTCCCGGTGGCCGCACAGAGCTGCTCTGAGCCCGGGACTGCAGGCAGCTCTGTGCAACCCTCGGAGTCGGTCTCCCGAGGGTTGCGCAGAGCTTCCTGAAGCCTGGAGAGCGAGAGGGGTCAGTGCGCACCGACCCCTCTCGCTCTCCAGGCTTCAGCGAAAGCCTGCATTCGCCCCATAGGACGCACACACATTTCCCCTTCATTTTTGGAGGGGAAAATGTGCGTCCAATGGTGCGAAAAATACGGTAATTGATCACATGATGCCACACACAATTTGAATGGCAATGCCCATGAACTTTGGGGAGGGGCCTCAAATATTTTATTGAGGGCGTGAAGGGACCTTGGCTCCTAGGAGTTGGCTCCTGTGCTCACAGAGATTGAGCAGGGCCACCCTAAGACATATGAATTAGTGCAAGAGCACCAAGGTTGCCCTAAGGGACGCAGGTGACGCTGTGCGTTAAACCACAGAGCCTAGGACTTGCTGATCAGAAGGTCAGCGGTTTGAATCCTCGTGACAGGGTGAGCTCCCATTGCTCGGTCCCTGCTCCTGCCAACCTAGCAGTTCGAAAGCACGTCAAAGTGCAAGTAGATAAATAGGTACCGCTCCGGCGGGAAGGTAAACGGCGTTTCCGTGCACTGCTCTGGTTCACCAGAAGTGGCTTAGTCATGCTGGCCACATGACCCGGAAGCTGTACGCCGGCTCCCTCGGCCAGTAAAGCGAGATGAGCGTCGCAACCCCAGAGTCGGCCACGACTGGACCTAACGATCAGGGGTCCCTTTACCTTTTACCAAGGTTGCCAGCACAGCTTGTGCTTTAAGCCTACCTTTCTGTTGCAAAGCCATCTGTTTCCCAGTAGAGCTGAAAGGACTGGGGTTTGTTGCTGAGCTGCCCCCCCCCTTTTTTTTTGCTCAATGCAAGCGGAGAATCTATCTTGCTTTCCACCCGCCTTTTTTTTTTTTTTAACAGTGTTATGGACCATGTCAGACATCAAAGCCCTGATTAAGCCAATGCTTTAATTGTATCTTTGTGCTTCATTACTTCATCCCCCCCACCACCTTTGATGAAGGACTCTCCTCTTTGCTGGTCCTCCCCCAAATTATCACCCCTCTGGTTTAGTTTTTAGTGCTGAGTGCTTTCTCCAGTGCGCAACCCCCCCCCCCCATTTTTGAAGAGATCATATCTGTCCAGAACAATGTACCCACTTCTTCCCTTCTTCCCCCCACCCCCAGCTCCAAAAGAAGCTCAGCCAGTGTGGCTAAAGGCACATTTACACCTATTTTCGTGTTGCCTTGGCTCTCCTATTCTTATGAAGCTCACATTGATTATTGCCTTTAAATTCCTCAGTCCGGTCATAGATAAAAGGATAACCACTTCAAAGGGAAGTGTTAAGAGTTTAACCCCCGAGCTAAAAAGAGTGGACAACAAGGTAATTGAGGGTAATAACTGATCACAGACCAGCTTTTCAAAGGCACATGTGAATCCCTACTTTCAGATGGCTTTAATTTTATTAACATTTGTAGCAGCTCCTTGGCTTCTTGATGCTTGCTCTCAGAGTCATTACAAACTTCAAAGCTGGAGAAGGTAACACTCTTAAATGGGGAACCTGACACCAGGATGGAGATAGATAGATAGATATCAAATCCAAGTCCACAACCTGTATCCTAAAATAATCCCAGAAGAGGTTTTTTCTTTCTTTCTTGTCATTTGTATAGATTTCTGGCCACTTCCTCCCAGCACTGCTGTATTTCTGCCTGTGGTGCAGCTGTTAAACTCAGAAGAGCCTTAGAAGGGAAAGCTAGCAACTCTGTGACCAGAAGAGGTTAGAAGCAAAACCCTGCTTGGGCAGAGTTTTATTTTATTTATCAGGTTTAATACATGTCTATATGGTCCTTCAATTTAAAATTCCGAGGGACTTTGCAATAACTAATTAAATCATGATAAGGCAGTGCTGCAAACAATAAAAAGTTCTGTTGTTTTTTAAGGGGGTGATATAAGAGGTTTTAAAGCCTGTTCGAAAACTTTGAACAAATCATTTGCCAAAACCTTAAGGCACTAAAAAACATGAGCCTAGGTGCCAGGGGAAGAGTTCCACAAACGAAGTGCCCTCTCTCCCATAACCTGACTGCAGGTGGAACCCTTAAAACACACAGGAATTGACCCACATATGTGGCTGCATTAAGATATCCTGAGCTTTTTATGTCTAAAGCCTTCTTCAGATGACACCCCCCGGAAAGAAAGAAAAAACCCATCCCTGCCCAATGCTTCTATGCCCATTTTCCATGTCCTCCCAGCAAACATGCATTCAGAAATAGCGTGAAACACACATATCTGTATGTGTGCAAACCCACTTTCACTCTACCGTCAAATTTGCAGCCACCAACTGAGTGAGGTTAGCGGATGTATGAGCAATGGAGGCATGACTACTGTCCCACCATCCTGTATTCAGGCGACACTTTTGAGTCATGAGGTTTATGAAACCACAGTGAGCCCTGCCAGACATACACATAGCAGTTGGGTTTGGTGAGACCCAAGTTGCACAGGCTCAAGACATCAGCTGATGCCAGCCAAAACAAAACGCCACTCATCGGCCATGTATATCTGCATCCTCATTTTGTGATATAAGCTTTGCTCGTTGTTATTGGCAGCTGCTTTTGTTGGTTTTTTTTGGGGGGGGTGTTTTTTTGCAGATTGTTTCAATCATTGCTACAGCTTTTGAAATTGTTGTAAACCCACACTCGAATCAAAAAAAGTGATGAAGGTGGGATATAAATCTAAGTGAGAAATAATAGAGAATCTCTCAATGGTTACACCATGCAAAAATCATATAGAATTGTTCCCTTCTAACTTTGCAATTTTTTCTTTACATTTTTTTAAAATGGTAAAGATTTTTTATTTCATTTTTTAATGCGTATAAAACAGAGGGAACTGTTATAATGACAGATGGAAAGCAAATGGTGGAAAGCGAAACTGTAAAAAGGCTTTGCAGAATGAGTGTGTTTGCACAGGATTTCGAACCACAGAGCCCCCAAGTAAAGGAAATCAGGGTTGTCTGACTGCCCAGTCTAGTTCCAGATTTGCCAGGTTGTCTTGAAAACGATGGTTCCTCTGTTTACGTAATAAAGGAGTGTCAAATCTTAAAAAGAGAATAGAAAGAACCATAGAATTGTAGAGTTGGAAGGGATTCTGCGGGTCATTTAGTCCAAACCCCCTGCAATTTAGGAATCTCAACCAAAGCATCTATGACAGATGTCCATCCAACTTCTGCTTAAAAACCTCCAAGGAAGGAAAGGCTACAACCTCCTGGGACAGGCTGTCAACTGTCAAACAGCAGCCAAACAGTTCGTACTGTCAGAACAAGCCTTCTGGATTTATTTAGCTACCTTGGATTCCAAAAGCAGAAGGGTTGGAGATGCCAAGTATCTGAGAAGTCACACCACATAACTAATGGGCTGTGTTTCATTTAGTGAGTTACAGGTTGTGCAGTCCTGAGCAAAAAGTTATCAGAGTTGGTGGGAATCCAAGGATAAGAGAAGTCTCGGTTCAATTTCCCCACTTCTGGATTCTTTTCCCGAGCGCCTGGCATCCATCTTGCCTTTATTATTACATACCAAAATATTTTTGCTCCTCACTTGCATGTTTCTTTCCTGAAAAACCTCCCTCGATAACTATTTCAAAGGGGAGATTTAATAATTTATGCTGGCACTTTTGTTTCAACTTTTCCCCCGTTCAGCAAATGCATGGAAATTTCAAGAAACTGTGGATCAATGTATTCCCTAGGCACGGGCAAACCAAAAAGAAAAAGAAAAGAAGGGAATATGTTAATGTTAAGAGCTGTTGTTATTATTTTTGTGCTGCACTGGCTTCCATTTCTAGGCCCGAACCATGGTGCTCGTTCTAACCTTTAGAAATCTGAGTGTCTTGGGACTCTGACACCTTAAGCGCCACTTTTTCCTGCACAAACCTGGCTGGCTACTGAGATGCTTTTTGGAAGTCCTCAGGTTGCCTGCCTTTTAAAGCGCAGGAAAGGGGAATGCCCAGATATTGTTACACTACAACTCCCATCATGCTTGACCATTGGCCTTGCTGGCAGGTGCTGAGGGCAGCTGACCTCCCTATATCAAGTAAATAAATTAAAATACTTAACGGACCGATCGAGTCACAGATAGCTCAGTTCTGCCCCCCCTCAAAACTCCTAACCCCCCCCCATAAATCTTGGCTATGCCCATAGCTGAGGGATATTGGAAACAAAATTTGGTGGATGACAGGTCCCCTATCCCTGTTTTAGAGCTAAGACTGGTATGAGTGACCCATGATGGGGCCTATTCAAACACACACACACCCTTCATACCCTCCAACATTTCTCCGATGAAAACTGGGATGTCAGATACAACAACAACAACAACTTTATTATTTATAACCACCACCACCCCCGCATTTGAGTGGTTGCCCCAGCCACTCTGGGTGGCTTCCAGTATAAATAACATATTAAAACATTAAGCATTTTAAAAACTTCCCTTTTACAGGGCTGCTTTCAGATGTCTTGTGAAGGTTGTGTAGTTCCTTATCACCTTGGCTCCAGGGTCACATAATTCCATATCCTCCAACATTTCTCTGATGAAAATAGGGACGTCCCAAGGAAAAGCAGGACATTCTGGGATCAAATCAAAAATCGGGATGGGTTCTGTAAATTTGGGGCTGTCCCTGGAAAATAGGGACACTAGGAGGGGCTGCACACTGGCCTACCAAATTTGAAATACCTTTAACTGGGCTCGGAAGAAGGTAACATAGAACAAAGGAAGGATTTCAATAGGCAAAGCCCTTTTCACTTTTGCATGACAAGCTGCGCTGGTCCAAACTCCTTCCGTACAACTCTTAAAGGGAAAGCAGGTCCACAATCTGTTTGTGCCTTGAAGGGAGGGTTGTGTGGGCACACTGCCTTTCAACTGCTCTTTGAGTATTATTACAGACATTTTCCAAGAAGAGGCCAGAAAGAAAACAAAGGTTTTCCATTCCTTTACTCCCAGGTCACGTTTGTAGGGTCTCCATGTTAATTTACCCCTGTGAGATTGATACATGCTCTATCCCTACTCTGGGAAAATGCACATCTCTTCTTTCACACCTGTCCTGGAACTGCATGGGAAGGTGGGTGAGCTACTCAAATACACTCTGAATAATATTCAAAGTGGTCTCTCTTATGTTTATGAATCAGTGGCTAATTTCTTATGAATAAGGGACTCTGCAGTCTCACATCTTTTTGACTGAATCCAAGGTCCACAGGAGGTTCATTAACCTGTGACGCCGAAATTCAGGATCTCCCCCCCCCAAAAAAACCCTGATGCCAAAGTTTTGTGATAATTTTGTGCTGCAAACACCACATTTTGTGCCACCACCACACCAAACTGAGTAATTGACAAAACAAATTGGGGTCACAAGTTAATCCCAAAAATCCAAACTTGTCTGATTGACTCCAAACCAGTTCCAAAGTTTTCTGCTAGTTTTGTGGCGTTTTGCACCATGGGCTAAGGCTGAGCACTCTTATTCACAATAGGGAAAGAGCCCCAACCCACAAAACCCACCTCCCATCTCTGAAGAGGACATAAAAAAAATCCACGCTCAAGCATGTGGCTTGTTTGTTACTTGCAGAAAGTAACAGGGTCTGTCCAATCAGAATCTGAATAACAATAGCAACAACAATGGGTGGATGAGAGTAATTGAGTGTTTGAGGCCATACAAAGCTGGGAAAAATGAGATTCAAAAGGGTGTATTACTAATGTGTTTATGCGTGTGTCCTCTGGCTTTACCAGGCAAGTTCCAGTAATATTAATGAGAGCTAGGCACGCAACTCCCTTGAATAGTGGAGGAAAAAAGAATACTCTATTGTCTTAATCCTGCATGAAAGCTTTCTCCTGCATATGTCATGAGAGAAGTGTTGGTGTCCTACAGTGGAGGAGACCAAAGGTCCCATTCTCATGTCACCGCTGCGCATACCACTGCTATTGTAGAAATTAGATGAGCTGACTGTGACATTATATGGTTTTCTCATTCAAACGCTTTTGTGTGAAAAATGGGGGCTCCGGGAGAGGGGCAGGCAGGAAACGGCATAGCAAGTAGCTACACCTGGATCCATGGTACATAGAAAGACAGTTTTGAAATAGCAGTGCAACATAATGAACACAATACCGCCCACCCCAAAATAAAGCCACCTTCTTTGGTCACAGGTACTCAAGTTTCAAGTTTATTGCGGCCAAAGCCAGTGACACTAAACACCATAAGATCAGACAACAAGAGATCAGCAACAACTTCAGAAAAGAAAAAAGGTTACACAAGAGAACTTCACAGTGTGCCATTCAACAGAAGAGATTTACGCTTCTTAATTACTAAAGTGCAAAATTTAGCCACCTCATATGATACTGAGCTTGAGGAGTCTTCCAGGAGGTATTTTCGAAGAATTTCAGGGAGGATTCCAAATAATATTGAAGGGGTATAAATTTTGATAGAAGCGGTAAAATAAGTTGAACTCGTTCTTCACTATAGAATTCGCAAGATAGAAGAATGTGTGTGACAGATTCTACCTTATTAGACATACAAGGGCAGAGACGCGCATGCATTGGAACTCGCGTGAATTTGCCGTACAGCACTGCTGAGGGCATTGTCTCAAAGCGGGCTCTAGAGAAAGCCCATCTATAGGCTTTTTGGTCACAGGTACTGAAGACTTCAAAAAAGAAAAAATAGTTACATTTGGTTCAAACCCCAGCTTGCAAGTTGAGGTCATCTCACAGCCAACCAGCCCTTTTGTATAGCTGACAATAGGCTCATTAAAGGCACACCCAAAATGTGAACGTAATTGCTTATTACTCCAGACATGGCTAAAGACATTAGCACAAATTCCGCAGATTTATAATGTCCCATTGTCTTTTCATTACCCATGCATGCAGATGACATGAGAGTCCAACAGACCTCAGGCACATTCCAGACTATAAAGAACACAGTATTGTTACAGACTGAAGAATAGGTTATTCAAAAAATAAATATTTGGGAATACACACAAATGCCTGTGCAACTTTGTGTCTGCCTTGTGCTGTGGAAGATTTATGCTGCAATATACATATTTCTGATCTTGGGAAATGCAGGAAATCAACGTGGCAAAATGGCAAAATGTATCAAAAAAGCTGATACAAATGCAGCTTTTGGTGCAAGCTCAGAAATCAGGATGCATTCAATTCAGCCAATGCAACTTTTGCAGGCAGATCACACACACAACGTTTCGGACATCCTTCCCAGGGCCCTGTGGCGCTGGTGAGCGGGGCTAAGACAAAACTGGACGGAGCAATGTATGCAACTCTTGCTTTGTACAGTAGGGTAGTTTCTATGCATGCCCCCTCTCTGTGTCTCTTCAGCTATACAGTGGTACCTCGGGTTAAGTACTTAATTCGTTCCGGAGGTCCGTACTTAACCTGAAACTGTTCTTAACCTGAAGCACCACTTTAGCTAATGGGGCCTCCTGCTGCCGCCGTGCCGCTGGAGCACGATTTCTGTTCTCATCCTGAAGCAAAGTTCTTAACCTGAAGCACTATTTCTGGGTTAGCGGAGTCTGTAACCTGAAGCGTATGTAACCTGAGGTACCACTGTATACGTTTATTCAGAAGCAAATCTCACTCATTCCTAAGTTAGTTTCCATAGGACTGATTCCAGTTCCAGTCTATAAATATAACTGTTATTTCTACGGGACCTGTGCGAGAGACCTAATATGACATTTGGATAACGATAGAGGATTTTAGTTACAAGTAGGTAGCCGTGTTGGTCTGCCGTAGTCGAAACAAAATATTTAAAAAATCCTTCCAGTAGCACCTTAGAGACCAAGTTTGTTATTGGTATGAGCTTTCGTGTGCATGCACACTTCTTCAGATAGAGGATTTTGCCACTCAAATGGGGATATCCTCAACAGCAGAGGATCTATATGTATATCTGTTTTTTAAAACTATAGGTACACACACACATGCATACATAATTTGAAGCTGCCTCATACTGAAGTTAAGCTGCTGGCCTGTCTAGCACAGAATTCCAACTGGAAGAGTATCTCAGGCAGAGGTTATACCCAGAGGGAAGCAAGTGGCACTATGATCT